GAAACATTTTTATGTGAGGTGATAAAGATTGCCCTTAAATGACAGTCATAAACCCTTAAACCGAATTTCAGACTCAGACGTCTTACCAATAAGTGTTAAGAAGAGAAAGTGGGGATCATTGAACGAAAAGATTTAGCACCAAAAGTGTCTCTCTCGATTGGTGCTAAGACCCTTAGAAGAGCGCCATAAATGGATGTTGGTTTTAAAATACAATCGAAATGCAAATTAGGGTTAATGTGGTGAGAGCTGTAAGGTGATCGCTTTCAATTGAATGAGAAGGAAAACTTGTTGCGAAGTAGAAGGATTTGAGGATTTGGAGGATTGAAAAATACCATTCTATAATTGATATAGAATGCGATTCTTCCTTGAATTTCGGAGACGACTTCAGGGCAGAAGATAGATGTGAATTGAGCGAAGGGTTAGCAGTGTGAATGACAAATTGAGGGCAAGATGAACACAGTGAAATCTCGATCACTTGTGTCGGTTCAAATGAAAAGAGATTAGAAGAGTGGAGCAGAAGTAAATTGAAGGAAATAGAAGGTCAAGTGTTATGGAGCATTGTGTTGCCTCACACTACTTGAATAACATTTTGTTTGCATTGTGAAAGTAAAATCAAAGCCTGTAATGATTGCTCCCTACAAGACTACCAGAATTCAGAAGACGAGAGTATAAGCAAATGATAAATGCATTATGATGGATTGACTACTAAAATTGCTTCAAGATTACTTTGGGGACACATACTATGCAAGGGGCGCCAATGGACAAAGAGAAGACAGACGGTAATAGAACAAACTCTTCAAAAATAGATTTGTAGAATTGTGTGCAGTGATAGGGAGGCGGGAAGTGGGAGAGGTGAGAGCGAAAATTTTGAGGGAAGTTGACACTGTGTCTTCGCCTCTTCAGATCTGAGATTACCAGTTGAGCAAGAAGGTTTCACTGTCAAGTCTTGCTGTTAGGGTGAGGATTGTGCCGTAATTATTGGAGAAGGCGCGGTTTGACAATGGCTTTGAATTGGACTAGAAAAGAATGCGATCAAGTTATTGCATGCTAAGTCGTTCAATAACTAGCATCTTGTCCCTTGACATGTGAGGAAGGAGGTCGTCTGAGGGAGTTGAAGACTGTTGAAAGTTTTCGGCCGAACAAGTGCATAGAGCCCCTTGGAAATATCGGTTGAATATGCAAGGGCTCTCCAAACTTTTGTCTTGTGACGTGGATGTCGGTGGAGTTCTCACCTGTGGTGGTTTCTTTGCTAGGGCCTCACTGGTGGAATGTTTCTCCACCCACTGCTTCACTAGTTCCTTATTCTTTGCGTTGCCACGATTCTTTAATTTTAGTACATTCAATTGATGATTCAAGTAACTTGGATCAGTTAATGCTCTGCCTAAATTGTAGATTTCGCAATAACTTCAACGATTTATGATAATTGATAAAAATTTAAATGCACTTACGTAGTATGCTTTGCGGGGAGGCTATATTGGTGTGAGTCGAGAGTGTAACCTAAAGTCAATTTGTTTAAGATGGCAATTGGAAGCTGACATACAGTTTTCAGTTCGGAGTTCTCAGCAGCGGTTTGAGATGACTCTATGGGAACGGAGGTGTATTTATCCAGTATTGATTCTAATCTTGAAAATGACTTTGAGATGGGAGTGACTGGGTTACATGCAGAAGATGTGGGCCCTGGAATTCTGCCAAAGTGTTGCGGATTTGGCAAATCTGAATTTGCAAAAACCAAACGAACATATCAAGTGGGGCCAAATGTGCTCAATAAAGAACTTATCAACGTGGAAATCCATTGAACCTCCTCTATTGCGAAAAGTTACCCCACCTTCTGCTTATATAATATTTGCAATAGAAAATCAGCTCTCGATATACTCCTCCGAATCTTCTCGCTTTCACTATGATGCTTTTGTCTAATTTAAAAAGAAGTGAGGGGCTCTTTGCTTCTTCCTGGTCTATAAACTAGATTATGAATTAGCACATTTCATGACTAAATTGGTATTTTGGCCAGATCGTCAATTCGGGGTTGAAGGTCTCCAAGTCATTGTTGAGTGTTTTGGAGGGGGAGGGTGTAGAAGATGTCATTTCATACAGGTGTTTACGTTGGACATACACAGTGGCATGCAGTATGCAAGGAGCAAGTGGGACTTAATGATGACACTTCAGGAGGTTTCGTTTCCTGTTTGATTATCTCTCAAATGATGATTGATGTTTTCATAAACTTTAAAATGAATTTTGCTTCCTCACATCAACTATGTTGTTAAATATACTTAGTGAGACATTCCAGTGATAAGAAGAATGTCGTAAGTCCTAGTTCTTTCACAGACCAACACGCAAACGTGACTGGTAGCCAATGATTTGGCATTTGGATAGAAATCTAAGTTGGTGCTTTGAGTAGAAGTGAACGATGGTGAACCCAATCCCATACTCACTTTCACCTACTCACAAAATTGAACTATCACCATGATAGTGATGTGGTAGTAAAATGAATAATTCAATCAACTTTGCTTCATCCAAATAATTGTCCAAACGAATGACACTAAGTACACAATTCTTGTGGCCAAAATTCACGTCTTTGAAGTTGTGAGAAAAGATTCTCTAGCATCTCAGCAACCGATTCATGCAAATATAATCCTTCGTTCATTCTCAATACTCTTTTCTAACTTTTAATTGTAGCATTTAGTTCCGAAGTTCACGTTGACATGGCTCTTTCTTTATTTCTTTCCAATTTCATTAACTGCCTCGCATTCGGGCTGGGAAGATGAAAATATGCTTTAAGTCGGTGTACGTCCGATTACTGCACTACATTTCGCCATCCCATTATCGATTTCCACATAAGATGGTTCTACTTCTCGCGCGCACGGCATGATTGTTAGAACCAATTCACCTCAAATGTGCTTAACTCACTCCCTCTAGCAAGCAACCAATTGGACGAAGTAAACAGGTTTTGATTTCTGAGTTTCCTATTTTGGCATTTCTTTTACTATATTTCCAAATGTACAAGCATCTCAACTTGAAAGCATTAGAAACAATGTAGAGTTGCATTGAATGTGACCCACGTACTTGGAAGAGCCATGGTACCTTCACTGACCCATTTGCCTACTCAAAACGAATATCTAGAGGAGAGGTTGGAGCAGACAGCACATTAGACAAAAGTAACCATTTACTTCAGACTAGTATTTGTAATTGACATAACATGGTCTCGTCAGGTAAACTATTGCCAAGAATGAGTTCTTGCAGTTTTAAAGGCTTGGTGAGACAAGAAGAAATGGGATTGTGGAAGGTGCATGCATCGTGTTGGATTGAGATAGGTAGAGTCGAAGTTAGTTTGAAATCAAAAATCAAATGTCCCATTGTTTCTCAACTTCACATAGAAGGTATAATGTGGGTCGGTGGTTGAAAGTGGACATTTCGGATCAGTTCTTTATTGAGCACATTTGACCCAACTTGATACGATCGTTTTGTTTGGCAAATTCAGATTTTTCAAATCCGCAACACTTTGGCAGAATTCCAGGGCCCACATCTTCTGCATGTAACCCAGTCACTCCCATCTCAAAGTCATATTCAAGATTGGAATCAATACTGGATAAAGACATCTCCGTTCCCATAATGTCATCTCAAACCGCTGTTGAGAACTCCAAGCTGCACACTGTATGACAGCATTCAATTGCCATCTTATAAAAAAATTGACTTTAGGTTACACTCTCGACTCACACCAATATAGCCTCCCCGCAAACCATATTACGTAAGTGCTTTTAAATTTTTATCAATTATCATAAATCGTTGAAGTTAATGCAAAATCTACAATTTATGCAGAGCATTAACTGATCGAGGTTATTCAAATCATCGTTTGAATTTGCTAAAATTAAAGAATCGTGGCAACGCGAAGAATAAGGAACTAGTGAAGCAATGGGTGTGGAAAGACATCGGCCGGTCCATGCATTGCAAAATCGTTGTCCACTTCTTAGCAAGTGTGTCAACAAGCTCATTGCCTTTAATGCCACAGTGACCAGGAATCCATTGTAGGACCACTGTTTTGTTTTTCTCTCTCACCAGCTGATAAAGTTTTCTACATTCCTTTATCTCAGCTCTTTTGGGTTGCTAAAGGACCACTGTTTTGTTTTTCTCTCTAACAGCTGATAGAGGTTTCTACATTCGTTTATCTCACCAGCTGATAAAGTTTTCTACATTCCTTTATCTCAGCTCTTTTGGGAGTCTCTCTGTTTTCAATAGAGTTCATTGCTGACTGTGAGTCCGAGGGTATCACCGCTTTAGTGAATTTCGTATCCAGGCAACATAATTGGTATAGTGCTATTCTAATGGTCTCTATTTCTCCTTCAAAAGCGGATCTATTGTGTGTCGCTGCTGCGTAGAAAGAGAAGAGTTCAGAATAGACACCAGCACCAACGTTTGGTTGGTTTTCTATGTACGACCCATCAGTGAAGACTTGGAGCCATTGATCTGCAGGATAGTTGACATTGATTGTCTGAAGGGCCAGTGAGCGCATTTGTTCTGGAGGTGGTGTTTGACTTCCTGAAGAAATCAAGCATTTGGGTGCAACACACCACATCAGTGTCTGCTATTGGGTTCATGGGGAGAAAGAGGCTTTTTGGTTTATCATCGATTTGTAATTCTTTCTTTAGTCCTATGGCTTTCTGAATTTGACCAAATTGCGTTTTCAGATTTCTCGGACTATTCTCGTAGGTGCTGAAGAACTTATCCATGGGAATGCATAGTAACTTCCCAAACATGATCAAGGCCTTCGCTTTGATAAGTGAACATATTGTAGTGCTTCCTGTAACTAGGAGCATTGTATCAATGGGTGTTGGTTTTATCCCTCCAGTAATTAGTCGTAATGCTTGGTTGTGTGCCATTTCGAGAGATTTGAGAGTCCCCTCTGTGGCTGTAATGAGTGGCTCACAGCAATACAACATTTTTGACTGAATAAACATCTTGTAAGTGGTGTTGAGAGTTGAGCGCGCACAGCCCCATACGCTACCAGCAAGACGCTTCAGTACATTCAGTCTATTGGAGACTCGTTCTGCTATTTTAGCAATGTGACTTTTCCACGTTAGCTTTGTGTCAAACGTCATTCCAAGATAAGTGGACTAATTGATTTTTTCTAGGATAGTATCCTTGTACAAAAAAAATTTTTGAAATGCAGTTTTCGCGGTGTTGATTACCAATCCATTGTTGTTGTACCAGTTTGCTAGTAGTTTTAGTGCACAATTAAGGCCACATTCTTTCCTCTCCTGAGCGTCTTTATTAGGGGCAGAATACCATAGAACATGATCATCCGCATAAAGTAAGCACTTGATGCCCGTGACTGTCTGCAATTATTCGCTATGTCATTGATGAAGACACCGAAAAGAGTGTAATTTGTGTAAGGCCTGTTTGTAAAAGATTTGATTTTGATAGAACATTTCTGTATCTGATTTTACACGATCTTTGTCCAATGAATGCATTTATCCAGTTAAGCATGCCAATATTTGCCAATTTTTGAATTAGCTTCTCTTTCCATACTAAGTCATATGCTGATTTGAAATCGACGAAAACAGCCGTAAGAGTATTTTTTGCATCAAGGGAGGTGAATACAGCCGTAAGAGTATTTCTTGCATCATGGGCATTATAGCCGTAAGGGTATTTCTTGCATCAATGGCATCTTTAATGGATACTAAGTCATATGCTGATTTGAAATCGACGAAAACAGCATATTTCTTGCATCAATGGCATCTTTGATGTGTTGGAAGAGGAAATCGACGAAAACAGCCGTAAGAGTATTTCTTGCATCCTTAATGTGTTGAGAGAAAGTGGCTACTTGTTGGTTTTTTGATCTTTGTAACCTAAAACCTGCTTGTTCACTTCTAAGAATATTGTTGATCTCAAGAAACCAGGCCAGCCTCCTGTTAACCATTCTTTCCATAAGTTTGGCCACCACGCTTGTGAAGGAGTTAGGCCTATAGTTGTCAAAGTTGCTACGGTCTTTGCCCTTTTTAATACTGGTATTACTATGGCAACTTTCCATTGGTTAGGTACGAGACTGGTCTCCAAGATTTAGTTGTAAAGCGTCAGCATGGTTTCATTCTAATTAGAAATTCCGGATGAATACCGTCTTCGCCAGGAGACTTCTTGCACTTTATCTGCTTTATCTTAGCATTAAGTTCGCAAGGTCGGAATGGTTCAGTAAGTACATTATTTTGTGTTGTCGTGTCTTCCTTAATTTCACCAAGCTGTATTACTTGAATCTTTCAATCTCTTGTAGGTTTTCTGACAAAAGGGTTTTTCTTTTGCTTCTGGGAATAGAACCTCGCAAAGCTGTTAGCTATTTTTGAATTTGTTTTAAACGTATTAGTTCTTTCTTGAGTCTGTCCCTGTTGTTTTGAGGGTTACTCAGGTAATTGAAAGTACGTTGGCTATCAATTTGATAGTTGATATTTGAGATGAACTTGTCGAAGGAAGTCCGTTTTGCTTGTAAGATGGCTTGCCTTAGGACAGCTGATTGTCGTCTCCAGGCTTTTACGTCTTCCGTTCCTCCAGTCTGATTAACAGTGTTGCGAAGGCCGTCTCGCTTTCCTTTCAATTCCTCAAGGTGTTTAGACCAAAACACTCGAGAGTGTTTAGTCTTGCCTCGGGGAATAGTTTTCTTTGCACATCTGATCATAATATTCGTGATATCATTGCAAAGTTTGTCAGGATGTTAGTAAAAGTTGAGGGAACTTGTGTGAAGCTCATTCTCTAAAAGGTTAGTGAATCTAGACCAGTCAGCCTTCTTGAAGTTCCATGATAGCTTAGTTGGCACTTTCCTTGTCATGCTTTTGCTGGCGATGGTGATGCTAGTAATGACTGGTTTGTGACCAGAACCAGGATCGTCAATTATTTTGCGGCGTGTGTGCTCGCTGATGTCGCTTGAGGCCAAGAGTAAATCAGGAGTTGTTCTGGTTCCATTGTAGTGCAAATATGTAGCCGAATCTTTATTGCTGTAAATAAGTACCAGAGGGTTGCTATTTACCATGTC